TATCGTTATCTTTATCGTTATCGTTCTTGGTGTGAACGGGGCTTTTTACTGGAATCAAAATAATCTAATCCAATCAGGAAATCTGTATTGATACCCAGCAATGCTAGTTACGACAGCAAACCTCTTCATTATTTATAATGACTAATGATAGTTTTTTTTATTTCCACTCTTTATGTTCTGTCTACGATCTGTAATGCGTTAAAGGAAAGGGATCTATTAAAGACATTTCGGATCCCAGTGGACACGTTTATCACTTATGTGATGACACTGGAAGACCACTACCATGCCAACGTAGCCTATCACAACAGCCAGCATGCCGCTGATGTCACACAGTCAACACATGTGCTGCTCTCCACACCGGCACTGGACGTGAGTATATGCCAACATGGGATAGCCAGTGCCCATTCAAAAGCAAAACTTTCATTATCTGAAATCAGATTTCATAGTCAGCACTGACACTTTACATAATGATCATCATACTATGGCATCTTCCCACCAGGCCGTTTTCACTGATCTTGAAATCCTGGCTGCGTTGTTTGCTGCTGCCATTCATGATGTAGACCACCCTGGAGTTTCCAACCAATTCCTCATCAACACCAGTAAGTGTACATTGTAAAACTAATGATGATGTCCTCTGAGAACTGGTTTACGGCAGCACAAAATCATAGGCCTCAACAATAAGAATGTATTCTGCTTTTTTACTTGGAACAAAAGAAACAATTTTTAACAACCTATTTTTATATATTCTAGAAATAATATTAAGTAAAATGATAATAATACTAAAATACATTTGCATTACAGATACATTTTTTATGCAAACATTTTTGTTTACTGATGCTTCCAAGACCATCACAGATTTAATCAAAACTTCATCTGTGTTAGTCAGCTAGATAATTATAGGGGCGGGGAAAAAATTGATTCACATATGAATCTTGATTCTATCTTCTGCCGATTCGCATTGATTCACACAATTCAAAAATAGATTTTTTTAGTGTTACATTTTAACTTTGCT